TTTTGTTAATAAGTGTTGCCAGATATGCTAGAGGACCTGAAGATACACTCTTAACAAACCAGTTAGTGACTGCTGAGGCAGAATCCCTGACTGAAACACGTCCTCCTTGTTGGCATGAAAAACAGAGTGTGAAGGGAAAACAAAACTGCTACTCAAGAGTCAATGCATACTGTTCTCAGAATAAGCTGAGACGTAGTGTGCTGTACCAGTTCATCTGTAAATTCTCCTTAGCCACTTGCTGTATTCTCTTTCTCCTTTATAATAATTTATATTATTTTATTTTTGGAAACAAAAATGGAGGTCCTAGTATGACACCTTATAACCATGCAGACACACATTGCCCAGAGACTACATCCAATAATGTATTTTCATAACCTGGCCTTGGTGTCAAATGGATTCTCTGTAAATATGAGAAATACTTCAGCAATTCAGAAGGAAAAAAAAAAGAGACTGAAAGACTTTCACCTGCTGGGTTAAAAGAAAAATTTAATTTGTAGAAATGATTGCATGAGATGTAACATCAAAGTTAGTTCTTATTTTCTAACAATGTACACAAATGCAAAGACTTTAAATAGTGAAACTAATTTGAGTTTCAGTATTTTGCATCTTCCTTGTGTGCTATCTTCAATTATGTCCTCAAACCTTCATATTCTTATTGTACTATAACAACTAGGTAAAGTGACTGTGATTCCCTTCTCCTACGCCTCATAAAAATCAGGAAAAAATAATGAAAATATTAATATTGATAGCTGTTTCTTCATATATACACCATCTAGTGTCTAACACGCTACTGTAGAAAAATACCTGCAAAATATAATTATATGATCTAGTGTCATTATTTGAATATAGAAGTAGACTTTAAAGTAAACTCTACCATTAGCAATATTTAAATGCTTGTGTAACATACTTTCAAGTTGACTATATGTTTATTGTAAATGTGGTTGTTCATGTACCAAAGAAGCTCTATAGTTGCTCACGCTTTGGATGCTCATTACTACAAAATAAAATCTTTGGCTACAGGCAGAATTTTTCATCTTCAAAATGAATGTATTAGATAACTACTTTGCCAAGGCAGATAAAGAAAGCAAAGATTCAGTCAAGGTGACAATTACCATCTGGCCAGCTACCGTAATTATTATGCTCCCAATTAAATGCACATGCAATATTATTACATCAACATTACAGTGTATGTTAATATTGAACATCACCAGATTTGTGTATTATTAGAGGTATTAAAGTTATATATATGTCTGTCTGGTTTGAAGTCTGACAATATGCAAGATAAAAATCATGAATAAATCTGTGTCAACACCCTCTGTGAGTTAAGTTCTTTACTCTTCACACATGGATGCTACGATTTACACTCTTTTGTCTTTCCTCTGCACCCTTCTCTCTCCCAGTTTTGGGGACTGACTACCTGTCTGAGTGCTTCCTGGGAGTACAAATAAGGACTGAATTAAAATAAGGACAAACATGAAATAAATTTAGACTTTCACTGTCATAAGTACCTAACAAATTGCCCAGACAATGGAGAGCAGTGCTCACCAGGGTGAATATGCCTGAACATATTCACATATGAACACATGAATATGTTCAATAAGGCCTTGAAAACTGCTAAAGAAAGCAGGGTAGTGTCTGAACACTCTAAATTGCTCCTATGAATACATTTATAAAGCTATAAGAAAACCAAGAACAGTGTAAGAACAGTGTGCCATTTAGTTCTTTTTTTAAGATTTAAATCTTGTGAAATTTAATTTTCAAATTACTGAAATTCAAAGCGATACAATAACCTACAAACACGTTTGACTAAACATGTTCAGAAAACTCTTTCAAAACAAACTTGGGAAATTTTAGCCTTTTGACTTCTATGGAACTATTTCACCTCATAAATAAAACCAGACAGAAGCAGAATTTTTGCCACCAAATTCAGTGGAAGCAGGAGTAAGTACTATACAAAAATTAACATCCAACTTTAGTGAGAAAAATGTTTTAATTAAAAGAGTATTAAAATATTATTACCTCCAGCAAGGATCTTCTCTTCCAAATCATTCATTTGTTTCTTGTATGCTTTTAAAGCAGCTTCTTTGAATGATGGTCGTATTCTTTTTTTCTTTGGAATTTCAATAACTGTCTCTGGGACATTCTGATTTTCATCTTCTCTTATTTCTACCTCAGGAACCACATCGCTTTCAACTTCCAATATCTCTTCACTGATCACACTGTCAAACTGTGTGTCATATTGCTCCTCTGGTAGCATTGCATACGGAGTTTCATACAAAGACTGCTCCAGTTCATATTCTTGGACTTGCTCACTAGTTTCACTACTATTAGTTCTGTTTTCTAGTTTAGCAAGCACCTGTTCCATTACTTCTACATAGTCTGTTTCATTCTCACCAGATGGTTCAATTAAGTCTTCCTCATACTCTGCTTTGTAGCAATAAGGCTCAGCATAAACATCAGAATCGAGTGTTGTACTTGATTCGTTTGCAGTGGACTGAGATAAAGTTCTAAACCTCCCCATAAAAGATGATCCACTGTCTTCGTACCCACTTAAACTTTGTGTACTTTTATTCCAGACTACTTCTAAAGCTGACTTAGCACGTTGAAGTGTAGACCCAAATTTAGGAAAGCTGAAAGCCTTATCAGAAAGGTCTATGCTCAACCGGCTATGCCACGATTTAGGGGCTGTTTCTTCTGAATCATCGCTTGGTAGTTCACTCTGACTTCGGTACATCATAGGCAATCTGTTCTGATTCTGATAAGAGGACATCGAATTTGTATCCTGATAATCATCATATTGACCAGTCCACTGACTTTGTGTTTCACTATCAAGGCCTGGACATGATGGAGAAGTACCATCTAGGGTGAAATCATAGCTTTCAGTATCATACTGGAGGTCAGAACCTTGTCCCTTTCCAAAATCTGTCTGTTGATCTGAAGGGCTGCTCATATCATATACAAAAACCTCCTGTGTAGATGTGTCTAGGCCCAAATCTGCCCCTTGTTCCAACTGATTCCAGTCTTTCCATGGGGAAAGATCATCATGTAAAGCAAGCTGAGTATCACTATAGTGGTTTCTGTCTCCAGATGCACAGATCATCCCATTGCTTACTCCACTATCAACAGTTTCTATGTTTTCTATTTCATTTTGCTCCGGATGCTGTTCCATGTCTTGGACAAAAGTCTGTTCCTGGGAACTGCCATACCAGTTTGTAGAATCATCTTGCCTTCGTTGCCAAAGTTCTCGATCAGAGGAAGACAACAGTGAACTGCCATTTGTTCTGCTAAAATACTGGTTTTCTGAAAAATCCTCAGAGTAAGACTGACACAATTTAGAGAAATCCGACTCTGAACGGCTGAGCTTTGGTGTTGCAAAGTCATTCTGTAAGTGCCACAAAGGAGTCATGTCTGAATAATAGGCCTTTGATTGTTTCTCCAGATTGTCAAACTCTGGTGACTGATTGTCATAACTTCTATTTGTAAAGGTGCCATTGTCAGCAGTTCTTTTAAGGTCTTTAGTGTTTGGGGACTCAGTAATCCCCTTTGTAGTGCTTGTTTTTATTTGAAATGCTGATTTAGATATCTTTGCATAACTGTTCTTATTTATATCTGATTCCAAGTCTTTATCACTGTCAGGTGACTCCCAGTCATGCATTTTAGATTTTGTCTCCACAGTTAAAAGTTTCATATCCATACTTTCATACGTCTGAGAAGTAGGTAGTCCTCTTTCTTTTTTGTCTTTTATGTCATGGGAAAATATATCTGTAGAAATCCCAATGCCAGTTCCCTTAAGTTTATAAGACTTTTTTAAAATCAAATCTCTTTGTTGTGATGACTCAAAGTAAACAAGAATGGGTCTTGGCTTTGCATTTGGACAGTCTCTTTGTTGCCCCAATCTTTGGGCAAATTCAATTTTAATAGTGCTTTGTGCCTCTGAGAAGCCCATTTTATCTATCAGTATTTTGTAAACTATGCTTTCAGTTTTTTCAAGTCTCTCTTCAGGCACGTTTAGAAACCTAAGACTTGCTTTGTTTCCTGGATGGCCTATCTGCTTAATGTAGTCATGGATGTCCCGGGTTTCTCTTCTGGACTGTACAAATCCAGTTCGCAATTGTTCGATTTCATTTTGTACAACTTCGACGCTGCTGGAAATTTCATCAATGGACTGTTTCAGAGCATTAACATGCCCTCTTAATTCAGAGAGTTCTGTTTCAATTTGACTTATTCCCTGAAGTTCTTTAAAGATCATTTCCATAACATCATGGGTTTGACTAATACAACCTGTCGAACTAAAGCCAGGTTCAAGAGTATTTGATTTCTGGTGACGCCCAGTTCTGTCCAGAGATTTACTTCTTAATCCCCATGTTTTCTTCCACGTACTTAGTTCAGAGTCCGATGAGACACATTCTTGGCTCTTTTTCCATTTCCTTAGTTTTCGTAAAGCTCCCAGTTTCAGTGTGTGCAAAGTGCGTTCTCCATCTGAGCTCCCATCGGACGGTGCAAGGCTGCTCAAGCTTTTCCTGTTGCGTCTCACAGGCATCGTGTGTGATGAGTATTCGTTCTTCTTGCTATTGCTTTTTATTTCACTTAAAGAGTCAGAACACGAGCTATCATTTGAAGACAGATCTTGAACTATATCTTCATTATTAGTGTGTGCTACCAAAACGTGCCTTTGCAGTCCATTGGCAATAGCAACCCTGTAACTGAATGTTGGCGAAAGGGAGAATTCTCTGTTGCTTTCCTCGTCTTCAGTTGATAAGTTGCGAGCAGATGGACACTTGGCAATCTTTTTAACGGTGCTTTTTAAAGTATTTGAAAATTTTGGATTCTTTGTATGTCCAATCTGAGTAAAGTCTTGTTCCTTTTTGCTCTGACAACTCTCTTTCCTTTTTGTACTATTTCCCGATTTCTTTGTAAACATTCCTTTGCGGATCTTATATATGTAAGATGAGATCAGGCTCTTTAAGAGGGCAGAAACCATGGAGCGTAATTTATTTCAAGCTGTTTCCACAAAACACCATTTTTGATCCAGACAAGTATTTGTATCTCCAACAGGATCATCATCAGTGGGGACCATATCCATATAAACTATTGTTGCTCTGGAATAATTTGACAGAAGAATAGAAAAAAAAAAAAAGAAAAGAAAAGAGTCACACATCTGCTTGTTGGAAACAAAATCCTGAAGGGGTTTTGTATGTCTTGCAAAATCTCCCTCTGTTGCTCATGGCTTCTTGAAGTGTCTAAAAAGGAGGGAATGATGTTACAATGGCTGCCAAGCAAACTTATCATTCAATTATACTGATGTTGTTTTAACTAGGTTACAATGGAAACAGAGATGATTCCCCATAATTGTCTGAATAGATTTTTTTCATGAATAATTGAAACTGAAAACAGTTCTAGGAGAATATTTTTAACAGAAATGAATAAGCTATACTTATTTACATGCTTCTTCCTCCACTTTAATTCTCTGACTTTAACAGAAATATTCATATTAATGCTCTGTGTTTTCTTTCAGAGTAATGGCATTTCAATTTAGATCCATATGATATACAGCAGTGATCAAAAAACAGAGAGGAAAGCAAGTTGTTACTATCTAGTAAAACAGAAGTAGAAAGTTCTGTCTTGCTTTATCTTTTGGACCAAGGTTGGATTCAGACATAACAAATAAGTATTGTATCCATGAAGTACTGTTCTATCTTGACATTGGATTATACACATGACTATGATTTGGGAAATAGATGCTTTCTTTTAATATCAGACTTTAACAAGGTCTGGTAAGCCAGGACTCAAAAGAAAGCATATCTTTGTTTCTTTTCTTTAAGAAGTAACAAAAAAGGCATAGAAAATAGCAGAAAATCTTAATGACAACTGATGGACCTTCTCAACCAGGTTACTAAATTTGACATTGTTCTGGTCACAGAAAGAAAACATCAAATCTATACAAAATAATATACAGATATGATTTACAAGTTGCAGGACAGAAACAGGTGCCATTATAACAGGAAAGCTATTTGATCTAAAAGAAGACTAAGAAAAGATTTCATGAGGTAGCTAGAAGCTTCTATTCCATAAAACAAAAGCTTGTATTCTATAGAAATGTGGTCAACACACTTTAAACATGTAAATGTACTTTTTTTGCACAGCATATCATTCACCTCCCCGCTTCATTGCTATGGGACAAATAGCTCAGAAAAAGCCAACAAAGAAGTTCTTAAAATGACCATTCTGGTTTCTAAAGCAGCTAAAAATTCTTTGGCAGAACAAGAATATTATTTAGATACATGGTATATGAAGGGTTAAAAATTGCTCTGTGGTATCCTCAGAGGCGCAAAGAATATGAACTGTCCTTGTCTGCAAACAGCATGGCACTGTATGAAACATTATGGTCCACTCACACACCTCAAAATCTAGCCTTTGCATAACATGGTTTGTCTTTACTGACCTTACTGTTAAACTCATGCAATGGTCAATAATAAACACTAACCACTGATTCCCACTGCAGCACCAAATGCACTGTGCTGCAGAAAGCCCAGGGAGAGCTGCTAAAAGCCTGGCTGGCTTCTGGAATCCTGGAACAGAGGATGTAAACAGACTTATTTCTTTTCCAGTTATAACAAAATTGGAATGCAGACCAAGAGCAAGCAGAACAAGAATAAACAACATTCTTCATCCTTTCCAAAGTTGCTACCTATTATTTTACAAAAAGCTGAAATGCCTGTTGGACATGAGTCACGTTTATAACGCACCATCAGCACAGCTCTTGCCACTTCTTTTTCTCGTAGGCTTATGCCTGAAGTCAGAGTATTAAGACTGAATTAAGAGCAAGCAACGTTTGGAAGCAAAGAAGTGCTCAATGTGACTGCATGCAATTTTCAAGGAGTGCAAATGACATCTCTCAGAATATTGCAAAGCTTTCACTACAGCCAAGGCTGCCTGGTTTTCAAATATTATCAGTGGCGAAAGGAACCATCCTGGGACACTTTTCAATGTCAAAGGCATGTTTCTAGGTGTAGAAACACTCGTTAACCATTCAGCTCTCACACTGAATGTTTGTAACCATTTATTGAATAGGATTGAAGTGTGATTGCCTGCCTTCTATGCCCACACAGAAATAGATTTTTAAATGCCTTCTTATATAAACTTCACTTGGATAACTTGGACATTCTTCAAATGACTTCAAACCAAGAATGAATAAACAAGAGCTAGAAGGCTTGTTTCCTGTCTCAGCCTAAAAACATCAAGAAATAATGAAGTTATCACTGGAATCTGGAATATTTCCATTCATTTTAAATAAATCTTAATGCTTCTCTGTAGAATAATATTGATTTCATAGCCAGCCATATATATATATATATGTTTGACCTACTGTTTAACTTATGCTTTTTATCAGAGATAATTGAAAGTATTACAAGTAGGTACACATTCAGCACTCAATTTGTCAGAAACCCAGTTTCTGACAATGCCATAGTAAATTAAAAGCTGTACTGTTACAAACACAGGGAGATCTGCTAAATGGAGCAGATTTATGTTCTCTCATGCGAGTTCTATTCCATCTCAGCTGTATTAGTCAAATGATCTGTTAATCAGTTTACAGCCTACCATTGCACTGTCAAAAATTCATCTTCTAAAACTGTCTATCTACACATGGAATCAAGTTTGAGTCATTACAGGTCTCATCCATCTCTTTCTGTAAAGATTTACATGGGTTGTTCTTAACATTTTAAATCAGTGTAGGTTAAAACTCCAGAAAATAAGGAACAGTCTTTTAAGAAGCACATAGGACTAAGTCAATTATTTGAATGATCTGCAAGTTGTCATTCAGAGAATTTCTGGTTTTATTCAGGTCTCCCAATAAGCCATCAGGACCTAATTTTAAAAATTTTTACTTTCCTTCTTTATTGAATTAAAACAATTTATATGATAAAGTTGAACACCATTGAATTAACCCATTCTAAGTATAAGGAATCAAGTTCAAATGACACAGTAATGATGTATGGACTTTATGTTAGATGGTTACAGAGCAGGAAACTGGAAAGTGTTATGAATTGTAAGATTAGAACTAAAATAAATTGTTAATGGGTTTCTTCTATAAAGAAAGGACACAATGGCACTTGCATCAACTTTTTACCCATAGCAAGTCTGAAAATAGACATTTGCCAATCAACATGATGGTGAAAAAGTAATTTGGATACTTTTGACAACAAAGCATTGTCAAAATAAATATGTCAGTTGGAAGCATCACTTATAAAGGATTCTTTTCCAAGTCTAAAACTAATGTGTCAGGTAGAAGGGGGGTGGAGTGGGCTGGGTTAAAAATACAGCTTTTTAAACAATGCAAGCAGTGTATTCTAGTTACATGTTTGATTCTCATGATTCTCATAGATTCTAATTTTTAAAAATTATTTTAACAAATCCAGCCCTTTATTCTTATAAAGAAAATTGAATCATCTTAAAAACATTGATTTCAGTATTTAAATAGAATAATTAGATCACTGCTGAGCTTCTGTTCAGACCCCAGTAAATAAAGCTGTAGAGCAGCAGCTCTCTCCATTCAGACGTAGCTTTGTGGATGCAGACTGTCCCCTCAAAAAAAAGCAAGAACCAGGTAGAACCACAGCCTTGCTCAGCCTTTACACTATGAATCAACTGCAAGGGGCCTGTGTGTATTGGAAGGGGACAGGGAAGAAGGTGAGACTCAAGTGCAGTCTCCCTCTACAAAATGCCAAACGAAAGTTTCTATTCACAACACCAAGACAGTAGGGGAAAACAAAACAAACCCAGATAGTCTTTTTCTGCAGCAATACCACTTTGTATTACTGCCAAAATAGTCACTACTCTCTACAGACAGCAACATCTTTTTTTGATGTGCGAAATGCTTCACAGGAATTAATTAATCACATGTAACAAAAAAATGTAAACAGCTTATTTTGCAGCTACAGAAACTGAGGCTAAGAGAGGTCCTCTTACTTTCAGGAACACAAGGAATCAATAAAAGAATTCAGATGCACAGATTTATTAAGCGTGGTATTTTACTAGTCTTAAGGTTGCCTGGGAACAAGGTTATCTTGACATAACTCTGCTTGCCCTCAGTGCATGTCTCTTGGGTGAAACCTTTGCTACTTCCCTTTAAACAAGGTGTATACTCCAGAGAGCTTCATTAATTTACTATAACAGTGGCATTATACTGACAATCATCTCAGATGACCTAATTCAGAAGAACTTAATTTAGAACAATTATCTGCTCCTTTACATTCTTCTTAAATTCTCCTTGTAATCTTAAATACTGACACTTTTAATGTCCATTATTGGTGAGTCTTTCAAGGTAAGGTGACACATCTTAATGCTGCACAAGCTCCATGGATGGCCTGCCTCAGACCCTGCCAAAGGTGGGGGCCATAACAATGGAGTAGTCCTGCTTTCTGTTTTGGATAATTACTCTTTGTTCCAGGAATTCCTTAGATTTTCGCCAGTAGACCTTTGTCCTACTGGATTAGCCCCTTCAACATTCACACAAGAGCGTGGAGTGTTATCAGCAGTGTCTCCTTTTGGCTAGAAAGCTATTCCTATTTTTCATCAAAATTAGTTGGAAAGTTCACTATATCTGCTTATTTATCTGGTGATATTTCTTTATGGATCCTGCTATTAATGTATCTGACCACCATTAAACATGTTGCCTTCTCTGTTTATAGGGAGTGTTATAAATACAACTAAACACTAAACTGTTTTTTCAAACCCCAGTCTAAGGATCCTGCTTACATTTTAGCCCACAAGACCTACTGCTGTCCTGAAGAGCTTGCATGCAGATTCATCAAGTACAGGGTAGAATTCAACCTAAATTTTTAGCAGTTATACTGCAAGACTGGTCATTCATAGCTGTAACATACCTGTTCTTTCACCATACAACTTAATTGAGTTTAAGGATGACAGATTCAAGCAGCACAGGCTTAAAACTGACTTTCACTCCATGTGATTTAGAAGAGAGTCCAAAACAGAAATCACATATAGAACTTTGTGCATCAGTGAATGAACTCAGTTACTTGCAATTAAACTACTTTGTAATATATAGAAGCACATTGTCTTCAGGAGAGCTGAGAAGAAA